ACATCGCAGAGCCGCACTAGATCGTAATTTGCAGTTGCTCAACCAGCCGTCCCCTTCAGTGCGACCTTCATTCGTCCCCCCAAGGCTGCATTTGATGAGGTATGGCTTAGCGAACAAGGCGCAGGCTGTGCATTGCATAAGTCATGCCTGAGGCACATCGAGGCGGCTGGGGACGACTCCATGTGTTTCAGGACATGGCTCCCGCGACGAGCAAAAATCGCGACCAAAACGTGCAAAATGGGACGCGACCAGCCACTTTGGCGACAGAATCTCGACCTCAAACCATCGGTGATTTGCAGCGCAGCGCGAAGGCAGCGCGAATGTTGGTTGTGGTTTGGTGCGATCTAAAAGCTGTGCGGATGCATGCAGCTAAGCCAATAGCTTGCATTTGCCGGTTGTCCTTCACCGGTCCTCGCGGGGCAGCGTAAGATGGGCGGGAATGCCACCAGACTAATCGCCATCTGAACTTCTGACAATCAGCCGCTCTGAGACAGATTCTTCTTGCGCGTCCTCCTCGAGTAGTGTTGGACGTCCCCCATTCTGGTCAGACCCTTCGCGCGTGCCGTTCCCTGTTGCGCATCGCTGTTCTGCCCGGGTACGAGCCGTTGTCTTCCCGTCTTCACCATCTCCAGTCCGTGGCTCGAGCGCTGGGTCATCATCCCACAACAGGATTCTCATAGCCGTCTGATGCGCAAGGTCTAGGAAGACCCTAACTTCTGTCTGGCCCCGGCCGCCACTTGCGCATCATGTCGACATACTCACAGCACTACCAGACCTACCAGGACCAGCCGCTTTTCATCGATCCGCATGCATTTGTCTATGGTCAATATGACAGCCGGCGCTCGAAAACACCAACAGATTCCCTGATCAACCATACTGGACTCTCGCCTGGCCCGCTTGCGACCCCACCGCCTGTGAGCCGCGGTCTGCCGCAACAACCGGAACTGCCCCAAGACCAGCCACCCGAGTATATGCAATGGGAGATTGACAGCTCTTCGACCTCTCCCACGTCTGTAAGGACGCCAGAAGGCTCATCATTTGAGGGAGACATGATCGATTACACGCCTAACTACCACCATAACGGCAATACCATGTCATCCCACGGCTCACACCACTCCATACCCGGGGTGGATTCTGGCATGTTGTTCAGCGATCAAGGTTTGTCATCTTGACATAGCTCAGCCATATCCGCTGACACCCGCATAGCAGTCCAGGCGGCGTTTAACGCTACAATGGCTGAGACGCAGCGGTATCAACAGCAGTATACTATGCAGACCCAACCATCGCACCACGTAGCACCGGCACATCCTCAAACCAACATGTACAATCAGAACTACACTACCCAGCCACCTCGCCATGACCCTTGGAATGGACAAGCACCTTCGCGGTCCTCAATGGTCCCTCGATCCGGCCATGTCGTTTTCGACCCTGCGAGCGATCCTATCAATTACTCGGACTATCTGGTGGATGTGGACTCGTGGGCAGCGCAATATACAGACCCTTCCTCCCTGATCTCACCTAGCGAACCCACGACATCATTCCAAGGTGAACTATACTTCACCCAAGGCCAAAATCTTCCTCATCGTCCGTTCGACCATGTGCCAAGAACACAACTTCCGACTCATCAGTCCATAGAGATGCAGTTCACGCGCGCATCACCACCACCCGATCAGCAAAACTTTGTCAACTACAACGCATCATCTAGTCTCTTCACGGATACTTACATCACCAGCAACCAATTTCCCGCCCCACCATCGACGGCCTCATCGACGGGCTACCACCCAAGGTCTCCGTATCAGCCAGAAGTTAGCCCTTCCGCACCCAGTCCGGGGAGCTCCGATGGCGTATACTCATCTTATCAACATTCAGACTCTGAGATGATCTTCGACCAGTATCAGACACAGCAATACACCCATCTGCAACAACTGCCGCAGCTACAGCAACCACACCAACCTTCTATCAAGATGGACTTTTCCACAGTCAGCGCTGTACCTGAACTGAGTTTCGATGCATCTCCTGAGCCAGAGTCATCGCAGAGTGCAGCACAGAAAGCACTGGCAGCAAAGTCTGGTGGCAGAGCGTTGGGCACTCATCTCGAGCCGACTGTTGCCAAAGCAGCGCATGATATGCGTAAGATTGTGGCATGCTGGCATTGTGTTTTGCAGAGGGACAAGTGTGGGCCGGGCGATATCTGCGAGCGTTGCTTCAAGCGATCTCAGCGACCGAATGCTGATTGCGGCCTTGGATGTAATCGGCTGAAGCTCATCGATTTGTCGCCATACTTCCTTCCTTCTCTGGTTACGCAAATGCATGAGGACGCAAACCTCACGCATTTTGTGACTCAGTACATCCAACAATGGGGAAGTGTCGAATTAACCGTCATGATGACATGCGGCCAAGACAACATGCCTCGGATGCCAGTGAAGGTGTACGAGTTCATCCCTCGTGGCGACGCGTTGCTAGTGCAAATCCAGTACAAGACAGATCCTGTCACACACACGAGAGTCGCTATCCAGAAGCAAAGCCCAGCACTAGGCATGGTGCACATCAACCACAACGAAGAGAAGAAGTACGACAGGTATATCACCGAGATCGTCGACCATCACCTCGACGCCTTTGGCGAGCTTTGCTGGATGGAAGATGACAATGACTTCCAACAGAAGCTCTTCAAGCTGATGACGCGCGTGAAGCCAAAGTCGGACGACGAGGCAAAGCTACTCCGTGAAATCTTCCGCCTTATCGTGGTCACGTTCATCATGTCACACACACTCACCATCGCCGAGGAAACGAAAGCCGCAACACTGTCACGCATGCACTCGTACAGCGGTCACAACTCTTACGTCGAGAACTACACATCGCCGCGCATGACCAACCGACAGCTCAAATACTTCTTCTCTCGTCTGCAACGCTCAATTCAGACTACTGTTCTGAACAAGCTTCAGCAAATCTTCAAATCTTCCAAGGGCTGCGATAAATGGCTTGCCGCTTTTGTCGCGGTGCTAGGTATGTGCATGGCGCTTGAAGACCAGCAAAAGACCATTCACCTAGTCATGTCTACCAAGGCTACTACAGAGCGCTTAGACCTGAGAGACGCGCAGAGCCAGGCGGATATCGCGTGTCGTGAGATTGATCAGCGGATGCACTTCGTGCAGCAGATATTCCGATGGAAGTACAACCGCAAGCATAACCCAATGCGCGACGCAGATCACGACTGGGAAAAGGAGGTGGGCTTCGGAGATGCGAGCAGTGTTAACTTCGTGAGACAAGTTGCGCAGTTGGTCAAGGAGAACAGTAAGTCGATACCATCGCATTACTTGGATGTTGCGAGAGAGGCCTTGCTAATGACAATCCAGTCGATTTCCTGCAACAACGGCAGCAGGTCAGCATCTCAGCCGACAACCAGACGAAATATACGTCACGTCTTGTGGGACAGTTCTTGCTTTCCTTCTGGCTTCCTAGCGTGTAGAGTGCTTTGGCTGATCAAAGCTTGAAACACCATCATAAGTCCGCCACCGAGCAACGCCCTCGTCTGCAGCATTCGCATGAGCCTGTCGCTCCGACGCTCTATTCACGACATAATGTATAACGATCGTTTCCCTCATTCTCTATTCCAGCGTTAGAGTCTTTGCATTTAGGCCACGCTGGCCAGCTATTTCACGCAACAAAAAATACGTTGAAGGGTCAGTTGTTCAGTAACAATCTCGATCTACGACTTCATGATCTTCATTCACATTCTTGGCTTTGCGAAACATTAGCCACTTATTTTTATACCCTTTGGTTTCGTCACGGATGTCTTATTCCATTCTTGTTTGGAGATGCGATGGCTTCATCCCTCTAAAGTAGAACGATGCGTTATTTAGTCTAATGGGATTCCTCGCTTGTATCAATCTTGTTGACGATCAGCGTGCATGATGTGAGGGGCATGGATGTGAGTTTTCCGTAAGCACCACACGGCAAGGCGAGGCAAGGCGAGGCAAAGTCTAGAGGGAACACCCTCGTTGAGCATACCCCATTTCGTGATCACGGACAAGGTTAACCCATATGTCCCTGTGCCGACTCCCGACCGGGTGAGAGTCAATTAAGGTTTGCGCATCATCCGCAGCTGATTTCCCCACTAAGCATCTTAGTACTTTGGACGACGACCCGCGACGGATGTGGCGCAAATGCGATCGCCGATTGAGTTCTGCCTACGTTTCTAGGCCTATACTAAGATAACGCATTCTGGTACTTGTGTGTAGTCACGAGCTCAAAAGCTTTTAGTCTATCAAGCCTCAACTCCCGCGTTTGGGACTAATGATAAGGTTTCGTGTGTACCGAGGGCCTGGAATGTGGGTACAGAGATGAGGGTGTGAGCAAGGCGAGTGTGGCGGACTAAAGGATTTTGTTCAATGCAGGGCAATGAGTTCAGACTAGGGCTGCCTGAGTGAGGAGGTATTCGGACCGAAGCGTGATTTTGATTATGATATGGTGTGTAGAAGAGGGGTATTGAGTGGGTGAACGCAATAGTTGGAAAGGTCGATGTGAGTATCAAGAAGGAAAAATGATCATGTGGATGTAAAGTATGTATAAGTGTATTGAGACGAATGATACACAAAAGCGCAGCTCCAGTAAACAAGAAGATTACTACCGATTGAGTAGTCAAGTGCGCTCCGTGTCGTATAAAACCAAAGAAAAGGATGCTAAATGACAGGTGGTATACCGAGAACGCCAATGCAACCATGCCCAAGCCTCCCAACCAGCATTACTTCCATGACGAGAAAGAAAAGGCAAGTGGTAATACGGACCCTTCCGTTATGCGTGTAACAGCTCACTAGAAGCTTGACTGCAATCGTCCGGAACGTCGTCGTCGTCATCACTACTCTTCAGATCTCCTTTCTCAAGCTCGATGCTCATCCAGCGCCAGTCAGAGATTGAGAAACTCTTCTTGTTACTATTGCGGCTAGTCAGCTCTCTTCCTGCCGCAAAGTAACAAGAGGGAGAAAGCAGTGGTGGATTACCTACTACCTGGCCTTTGAGACGTTGGCCTTCGGACTGCTGGACGCATTCGGGAAGAGGAGCGCAAGGCCCTCTTCCCAGCCCCTCTCAGTGACAATGTCAATAACGGCGCGGCCGGATTCGTCGAGTAGTTGAAGGTCGACGGTGCCACCCATGTCGATCAGAAGCTTGAGGATCTCAGCATCGCCGTTCTCGACGGCTTGCAGAATAGCATTCCAGCCGCGGTGCATCTTGTTGATGTCCGCGCCGCGTGTGAGCAACATCTGGATGATCTCTGTGTCGCCTGAGTAGCGGCGGAGGGCTTTGACAATGGGCAAGTGCTCGCCAGGGGCGTTGGGGTCGGCATTCGCGACGTCGAGAAGGTAGCGAACAATGACCTTGCGTTCTTCGCGAATGGCCGTTGTGAGTGGAGAGAAGACACCGCAGTTCTTGTCTTCGACGCTAACGCCTGCTGCGAGGAGAAGCTTGATGCTTTCGAGTTGATTGGCTACAACAGCCATCTCGACGACACCACGGAAGGCACGTGGGTTGGGGGTTGCGGCAAGGAGTTTCTTGAGAATGGTGGGGCGCTTGACAGCCATGCATAGAGGCCAATCCTTGCCACGGATGGCTGGGTCTGCGCCGCGAGAGAGAAGGATATCGACAAGCTCGCCGTGATCGTCGTTGATGGCAGTGGTAAGCGGTGTGCATCCGTCCGGTGTGCGGTCGTTGGGGTTGACACCCTGATCGAGCAGGTAAATCATCGCGTCCTTGTCGTTAAACTTGACAGCCGTTTCGATAATACCCTTGGGCTTGTTAAGGTCTGCGCCAGCGGCAACCAGTTGCGGGAGGAAATGCGTGCGCTTGTGTGTGATACACTTGAAGGCCGGGTACTCCGCAGCGTTGAAGTTGGGGTCTGCGCCATGCTCTAGCAGATAAGTGACGATCTCCGGGCTGTTGTCACGAATAGCTGAGCAGAGTGGTGTGTAGACTCCGTCTTTCCGCAGGTTGGGTGATACACCAGCTTCCATGAGGATCTTGATGGAATCCAGCTTCTTAAGACTAGAAGCCAATTCCATGACACCTGGTGTCTTCTTGGTGTCAGCACCGCGAGAAAGCAGCAGCTGAAGAGCTTTTGGCTTGTAGGTGGATGGCCAGAGCGGGTGCTTAGGGCCCGGAAGGTTGGGATTCGCTCCGTGGTCGAGCAACACAGTCATGAGATCTACACGGTTCGCCTGAATAGCCTGGAAGAGGGCCGTTGTACCCTCTCCATTCTTTGCGTTGGCATCGCCATCCGCGCTCAGGAGCATTTCAACACACTTGGGCGAAGTGGTCTTGTTCATGGCTGATACGAGTGCCGTAGAACCATTTTCCATGATGAAGCCAGCATCGCCGCCATTGGCGAGATATAATTGAACGAGATCAATAGAGTTCTGAGACGCAGCCAGCGCTAGGGGTGATTCGGAATCGGGGCCGGCGGACAGGTTAGGATCAGCGCCATGCTTTAGCAGTGTCTTCGCACATTCAAGACATTGGGCACGAGTGGCGGCGAACAAGGGAGTGACACCTTCGCGGTCGAAACCGTTCGCATCCGCACCATATCGTAGAAGTAGCGTGATGCTCTCCACGTCTTGATTTTGGGCAGCGACGCGAAGCATTGCTGACTCCATGTGAGGTTCTGCTTTAGCACCGCCGTCAAGGAGCTGCTCGAGCATCCGGTGCCTCCTCTGTTCGACAGCGTTGAAGAGTGCTGCCTTGCCACCAACATTCTTGGAGCCCCCACTTTGGCGTGGCGCCCAGTGCGGCGATGTGATGGCAGAATCCACTTTGGATGAAGAGTGATGATCGTCCATGTAGCGCTCGCTGACATTGAGACTGTGCAACTTCTCTTCCATGGTGGGCGACCGGGTAGAGGAGTGAGATGCGACATCCTCGTACACCGGATCCTCGTGATACCGAACATTCTGATGGTACATTGTGTCCCTGGTTGATTCACTGGAACGAGCGCTGGCTGGTGCGCGCCAGTTCTTGTGAAGATCAACGATTCCTGGCGAGAGGCCAGTGTCCTCGTGCCTGAAATTTGAACTATGACTGTCATACGAGTGTCCTTCCTCGTGGCGAAGTTCGTTCAGTGACGGTCTGTCCATACGGTGTGAAGGATGTGAAGGTGGTAAGAGGGGGTGGTCTCCATGATTGCTCGGAGCTTTTGTAGGTGGTGTCGGTGGAAGATCGGATGTCGGCGCTGGGTGTAGAGGTGGAAGGCTGGAAGCTTTGCTTGGGTTCAGTCGCTCCAACGCGGCAATCAGTCCGGCATATCCAATGCCCATGGAAGCATCGGCTCGCGCGTCGCCTAGTGTCCACCTGAACATAGCAGAGCTGACTTTGAGGGAGTCACGACTTCGTGACAGTGTGTGGCGCATTTTCTCGACATCTGTGTCGGCGAACATCATTCGGAACTTCATGCCAAAGCCGCCTTTGTGGTTCTCCTTGTCGACAACTGTAGCAAGTAATGCTGTCAGCAACAGTCCGCAACAACCATGCAAGGGAGGGTAATAGAAGCAGACAATCCAAGATTTGGGGAAACGTACACTTGTTGACCATTTGGGCCAAAACAGAGAACTCTTCGTTGACTTGGCGGACCCTTCTGTCAAGTTCTTGAGATACCTCGACGGGAAATCCACTTCGTGTTTTCGAAGCTTCCGTGACACCGGCCTCAATGGACCATAACACCTGACAGAGTTCGATGAACTCTCTGGCAAGTGGCTCAAAGCCATGAATAGGTGTCTTTGCTGTGCTCAGGTATTCGAGCATGCGGATTGCGATGGTGTTTCCCTGTGCGTTGACCCGCTTGCACAGATCAACCGATGTCTCTTTTGCTGGAGCCATGACAAAGATGGTAACAATGAACGAATGCTGGGGGAATCAAAGAGACCAACGAGCGGGTCAACGAGGCTTCTTTACAGTGCACTCGAGAGCCCTGACTAGAGACTATCTGTGGCCCGCTCCAAATACCGTGGTAAGCCAGGCCGTCCGTCTGCTCTAGCCCGCATGAGCATCGAGTCAAGGAGGCGCGACCAGGCGAATCGCGTCGCGTCATAGCTCTAAGGTTGTAATGGGCGCTCGAAAGGCCCGGAATAAGGTTTAGGTTCTCGCCTTCGCCGGGCTTAGTGCCAAGAGCTGTATGGCAGCGCCCCAGGTTGTTCTAGGGATATCCTAGATGACACCTGCCATTCCACGTGAAAGTGTGCGTGCATAGGGGGAAAACATACGGTCGGTGCTGTGGGCCGAAACCTATCTCCGGGAAACTGTTGTACGCTACACAGTTTAGCAAGACATAGCACCGATGAATATCATTTTGATTGCCGGCAGCTTCCTTTTAGCTGATCATTGTGACTGCAGCGTGCAGATTGTGCCTGCTGGCACAGCTGCATGCCACACTACTGCTAGCCGAGCATCGTGCGGGTTGATCTTTCTCGGGTATCTAGTCCATACTTGGATAGCTGCCTCGTGCTGCTTGCATGCATGTATGATCTAAGCGTTGGCTATGCGAGGAGCGGTATCTCCCCCAACTGACTCCAAAATTGGTATGCGTGTGAACGTCTCGACAGCCCAGATAGTGCACGAAACAGAATCTGCCCAAACCACGCGGATGCTAGATGCAAAGTCATCTCGTATCAGCCGCCAGTGTTCAGCCCAAAGAACGAGCCGTGCATGGGTACGTTCGGCGTTGCATGAACAAGGCGCCGAACGTAACGGGAAAAGCAAAAGAGCATTCGCCTACCAGCCACATATTCGTAATTGCCATCTGGGGTCCATCGGTCATGTCTTTCCGGGCTATCTAGCTCCACCTGCGATAACCCTGCGCGCAGTGTACGTACGCAGACTGCCTTTAGGCCGCACGGCCCGAGACACATCATTTGAGTGGGTGGTACGCCGTTCCGCTAGAGGTGAAGTTCGGGGCATCCAAAGCTCGTTGCCCCATGAAGAGAGGCGTCTCGCTGCGCCAGGGATTGCCAGAAGGGTCGCCGAAGCTTCGTTGAAACCTCGTCTACCCCTGGCTTCGGAATCGTATTGCTAGCTGTGCCGCACAAGATCGATCTAGGGCTGGTGCCACCAACAGCCGCAGCGAGACCTGATCTCTTCGGACATGCCTCCGCCATACTCGAAAATTCCGTCTGGACAAATGACAAGTGACAAAACTGAACAATACAGGAGTGGGGCTAACTCCCTCCATCCACAAGGGTAGCGGAAAGTCTAGCCAACTATTGAGCGCGTGGGAGCCGTAAAGATGTCTTTCGTGGACGTCCGCTATGATTGGTCCCCGACTAAGTTTCGCAATGATGCAAGATACAAAAGGGCAAAGACTGGCTCACTAGTACCAGATTTTCAGCCAAGCACGTTGCGAGCTCTTGCCGAGGATGATGACTTCCGGCAGCTTGCTGATCAAGAGGCTCTTAGCGAGCCGCGTCTGTACCCAGCCCAAGGTCTCTCGACGTTTCAGGCCGTTTTGAAATGAGGCGTTGACAGTGGCTCGGAATATGAGCGTTGCGATGATCTTCATGGAATTGCAAACCTTGGGCGTCTGCAGTCATGCAAATCCTCCGCAATTACTCATCTCAGGCTCAGATCCTAGGTACGCCTAACACGACGCTAGCACGTGCCGCGACCGCGCTATTGGTAGAACGCCCAGTACCTGCGAGGGGAGGATTCTGGGCCGTTCTTGCGCACTTCGCCGTTTTTGCTAGTGACCTTGGACTTTGTCGAGTGTACAATGTTCTCGCCGATGTGCGGTCTGGTACTCTTTCCATGAGACGCCAACTTGGGCGAAATGCATTCGCGAAGGATTTTGTCTCTGTCAGAACACGTTCTTTTGTAGAAGGACAAGCGTAGCATGGGGCGGCACGGCTATGCAAGATCGGAGATGAAGTTCTGAGGAAGGGTTGAGCATGACGACTAGAGGTGAGTCAGTTGGCATCGGAAGCACGGAGTGCTCCCACTTGGCGAGTATGTCGTAAGGTAGCGACCGCGTCGGCACCACAAACAGAATGGCTAAGGCTTGTCATTCTGCAGTGCGTGCAATCGGTTCCTGGTAGTCGGGTGTAGCTCTTGCAGCATCCTCGTGATAGTCCACAACTTCCACACGTATTCCTTCAGCCCGCAGGAGGAAGCAAAAGAGTACTCCTTTGACTCGAAACGCGGTCCGGGCTGGTGCTTGAGCTTGTATTCTGGTATACGGCATGATTGCGATAGCTTTGATGTAGCCCGCGAGAGAAGATTGTGCATTGCAAAACCCAATACCAGATTCCTTGAGCTGACGAAGGGTGGGCCTAAGTCCGCTCAATCAGGGTATGCATGTTTGGATTCCTGGAACTGCTCGATGCTAGTACTTGGATTGAACGGCTGACCAGTGCGCTGAGTACGATCGATCTGATGCGCGATGTGCTCAATGTGAACATCCCTTCACGATGCGTCAGGATGATAGGCGAGGATATATGTGGCGCCCTGTGGGATCGAATGAGCCAGGATCCCGAGGTCTGGTACGCATCTCATCTCTCCACACTGCGCACTGCTTACCGAGATCGATCAGACGTGGCGTATTCGATATCTCAGGCAATGCATTGGGGACCTAGTGTATTTTCCGAGAGTTCAGCCTAATTGTGGCGTCGTTGGAAAAAACAGGCGTGGCTCAGGTGGTAGGAGCTGTACCCAGGTTCAACGAGATCATGTGATACTGGAGTCCGAGCCGAATGCCAAGCAGGCGCGCCTTTCTTCGAGCGCGCCAACACCCGCGACCACACCCTGCAAAGGCTTCCAATATGAGCGGACATCAGCTTCCAGTCGCGCCGGCTAGTGACGCGATGCCTACGGATCTCTCCACCTTCAATATCCCCGATCTCATCAAGACGTCGCATAACGCGCGTTTGTACAACGAAGTGCAAAACCTCAAGAAGCTCATCAATGAGCTTGTAGACTACCAGCTCGCCCACCCAAAGAATACGAAGCCAGGTTCGCGCGAAGATATTGACAAGGAGAAGAAAGCCACACAAGACATAGAGAAGCGGGAGAAGTACATCCGCGCGCAACTGTCGATTGTCAAGACCTTGTACCGGCAGAGCGTGCTGAAAGTGCGCGAGGAAAAGTCGAAGACCTCCGATGACAGGGCAGTGAACGATGCGCTCATTCTGGGTCTCCACAACCTCAAGTATGAGGAGCAGTCGCTACGATCCGAGATCTCTGCTGCTGAAAACTACGAGTGCGTCTTCGCGTGGAAAACTGCGTCCATCGCTAACTATTGTATAGCCACAAATACATGAAGCTACCACTCATCCCCCGCGAGCAGTTCCTCGAGCAGTTCCCCGAGCACCAAGATTCGAATGAACACGACCTTATGACGGCGCGCATCGAGCACGAACACCAAGTCCGTCTCAAGCTCGAGGAAGCGCGGCAGGAGAAGCTGAAGCAGAAGCAAAAACTCATTGCGGAGGTTAAGAAGGGCAAGGACGATCTCACCAAGCTGGACACCATGGTCGAGAAGTTCATCGAGGCTGCAGAACCGATCAAGAAAGTGCTGGCTACGGAGTAAATACTTGCTACTGGATTTTCTTCTTGGACTTGATGCGATGCAGCACTGGAACTATGCTTATACTTGCACTTAGGGATGTCAACATCGTTGAGAAGGACGGGTTTGAAGCAAAGGCTCAAACATGGCAGCCTGCACCCATCCAGACTGGACTTGCAATGCCGTCTACGAGCGGAAATGCGGCGCCAAAGACTGCTCCCTTGTAGTCTACTACCACGCAAGCTCGCAAAGACGGACATGGCAGACCGAGATACACTACCCGGTTAGTTTGCTAAGGGTGCGCTCAGTTCGACTTGAGGGTCAGGCATGTCCTGTCCTGAGGAAGCAACGCAGTCGCTGCAACATCGCAGCTACAGTAGCGTGTGTCGGGAAAGGTCAGGGGAGCCAAAGTAGTCGATGCAGGAACAATGGGAGCTCGTAATAGTTTGACTAGTAACAGACACGGTACCATTAGCCGGTGCTGATTAGGTGGTCAATTTTGGCGCAAAGCCGAGCCTCTACATTCTCTCCTCGCGCCTTGTCATGTGTGTGCTCGAAGCAGACCCGTGTCTGGGGTAGGATTGAATGGTGGGACTGATGCCTGGTTGTGGGGACCCTGGTCTCCACCTGTCTTGGCGCGTCGGCGATTACGGATATCCGCCCACGCCCGTCTTCGCCCAGTCCCTCATTACACCACAACTTGTTCCCCGCACACGCGCCCACTCTGCCGCCATGGTTGTTGCTCTAGAGGGCAGTGCTGAGCTCCTCTGCGCATATCCGGTGCCTGCGAGCGGCCTCTCGAGATGCCGTGGGCCGCCATCACTGCCGGCGCAAGATGCCTCGGACTGCATACGTACTATGCAAGACTGGTTCAAAGCGCCTGCGCATACGGAGCAAGAGCCGTCGCCCAAGCGACGTAAAACTGGTGATGGCAGGGCTATCTCCGTGCCTTGGCGGGCGGACGCAGACGCAAAAGATAGTATCGTCTTGGCCAGAGTATCTATTGACTTGGTTAGTGGGCTGGCCAACATCTGTGATGCTGGACTGACCCGTATGCAGAACACGCCCATTCCTTCGCCAGACTTCATGGACACGACGGACGCCTCAGCCACACCGCAAGATTCCATACCTCTAGAACTCGAATCGTGCCACAGGGATCGGGCAAAAGAGACCCTGCAAATTAGACTCCGAAACGTGGTCGATAGAACGGGACTTGACCTGGCCGCCACAACCTCTTCCGCCTTCGCAGACT